GAGAAGGAGAAGGAGAAGGAGAAGGAGAAGGAGAAGGAGAAGGAGAAGGAGAAGGAGAAGGAGAAGGAGAAGGAGAAGGAGAAGCAGCAGCCCAAGTTTGACAATTTAAAATTCTAAGAACCTGGACAAATCACTGCACTCCTTATGACTCAGTGTCTTCATTTACAAACTGAGCTTAATAATAAAACATACCATACAAGGTTTGTAGTAAAAATAAATGTCTCCTGAAGAGGCTGGCACAGTATCTGATATATGGCTACTACTTCATAGTGGCTTGCAGTTATTACCATTATTAGCATATGGCTGGTTAACTGTTGAAATGGTTTTCGCTTTTGTTTTCATTCCCTCCTTTCAGCTACACAATGACATAGGCTTGAGGAAACAACTTGGGATGAATTAGGGATCTGTGCGAATGTGTTTGGCTCCATCAGACAACTTCCCTTGTACTCCTCCCCCAGGGCTCCTCCAACATTTCCTCTCTCAGCACTCACTGCCAAAATCACTGCCCTTTCTGCTGCCAAATCCCAGAAGTTTTTATTAGTGTTATTGCTTTTTTTTTTCAATCATGGAATTCTTTCAGTTTTTATTAAAAATGAAAATCTAGCAACACTCTTCTTGATGCCACCAGTCTTCTTTTTTAAAACCAAAAATGTAAGTGCTATCATTACCCCCTGCCCTTGTTCATATATCACAGCACTCTAAACCAATGACATTTTGCTACAATAATCTCGACTCGAGTAAATGGAAACTACCCAAATTCCCTTGGAATGGAAGAAGACATTTGTTAAACTGATCACATAATTTAAAAACCCGAATCTGCTGAACCAGGCAATTTTGCCCATGTAAGTGCCTTTTCTTAACTGAAAGCCAAATAGACTTACTGGCTTGGAATCCTGTAGCCAGCAGATAAGCAGGATGAAGGTTCTTTCTTGGGACAGTGGCAGTCAAGAAATCAAATGTCTGGGACTCTCTCTTTGGCCAGGGGCTAAAGGCAGGGTTGGTGGAGTCAATTCTGAGGTCTAATTACTTGTTATGAATTGAGGCTCTGTCAGTTTGCCTTCACCAAAGTTTTACTAATTTTAGTCAATTTGCCAAAAGAATGACAAGGTGAGATCAATGTTTTCCTAGTAATCTTTTCAAGCCCTTTCTCTGAGACCATACTGTATTTTGCATCATACTGAAAGCATCTTGTCTGGTCTGGTCCTTATCAGAGCAGTAATTTACTTGTCACATCTCAGCCTCAAGAGATAGGCTTCAGCCCAAAGTAGGTGTGCATGTCACACGCTGGGTATAAAGCATGCAGCCTCCATTTATTGCAAAAACACAGTTATGCCAAGCTATCAAGACAGAAGTTACGGTACAGCAATAAAATCTAGGTTCACATTTAATTACCCAATTTGAAACCCTTAACTGAGCAAGCCCGTTCTCAGGATGACACATCTGGCCATCCCATCTAATACCCCTCCCTAAATTACTCCCAATCAACAATCCTGCTCAAAGCATCAGGAATGCAGTGAGTACAAGACTGGGATTCTGGCAGATTCTAAGTGGCAATCTTTGGTTAAACTCTCACAATGTGTAACCTCTCTGCTATGTTAGTTTCTCCATTTCCCCTGATGAGAGATTTTGTTCTGTAATTCTGACATCATATCTGGTTCCTGCAATCCAAAGCCTTCTAGGACAAATGAATCAGTGCCCTGGGAACTCGCAGGGAACGCAGGTAGAGACAGCAGTGCATGCTACTGTTTTACCATGAAGGCCTTAATAGAGAGTTAAATGAGTTTCTTAAAGCCAAAGATAAAGCATGCTAATATGTAGTTCTATAACTACCCTTATGAAAATAGTCTCTTTGAAAACTGACATTCAGAATCTGGACTTTGGCAACTTTGGAAATGCTGAGGTTACTATTGTTTCCTTCCCTTAAGATATTTCATTTGACCCCTCATTTTTACACAAGACCTGCACAATTCTTGCAGGTCCCAAGAATTTTTTTAAAGCCATTTTTTGAAAGCAATATACACAAACAGTAAGAAACCTAAAGAATGGCACTGACAGCAACCCAAGCTGGAGCCAGTGTGCTTTTGCTGTCTGTAGTTTATTAACCCAGAGCTTATCAGAGAGGAGTGGAAGCTGTTTCTGCAACCCCAGGGAGCAGAGCAGAGCAGGCAGACCGTGAGTCACAGCAACTTACATCACTCTTCCTGAACTTCGCTTTCAAGCTCTTCATGTTTAGTCCATTTAACCTTCCAAGGTCCTAGGAGACTTTTCAACACCTAAGCAAAGAAAGAAAGAATGAATGAATGGATGGATGAATGCCCAAATAAACACTATGCATGTTCTCTTCTAATTGGATGATAACATCAGGCTAAGGCAGGACAGAAGAAATGCAAAATAGGTACAAAGGAGACAAAGCAATAATAACTAAAAATTATACTGCTAAGATGACTGCAGCTTACAGAACCCAGCCAAAGTTGTCCAAGGCAATCAATACCAACACAGCTTCAATCAAATTTAGAGTTCTTCCCTATAAGACCCATCGGAGAAAAATCCATCAGGAACCCTGAAAATCCATCAATTGGCTTAATCAAGAAAGTAAAGAGTAGGAACCTCATCTTAAGATGAAGGTGCAGGTTGAGAGAATCCAAAGAATGTTTAAATTATCTATTTTTTTAAAAAATGGGCCTACATTTGTAGAATTGTCTACGACCCTCCTGAAACCTTTTACCATGGTTTCCACCCCTTTAAGAAAAGCATAAATGTTCCCTGTGCCAGGAAATCATGAGTCTCCTTTCCACAGTGCCCCTCTCCACCCTTGAGTGCAGCCAGAACTCCCTGCCTAAGAAGCCCTTCCCGTTCCTCTTACAGATGCATTCTGAAAATTCTTTTCTCCTTAAGAAGACAGCAAACCTGCAAACCTAAGTCTGGAACAAGATGGGTTGGGTTCCTTACTTATCCCGAGACCTCCTCAGGCCCAGCCCCAATCACAGGGACATGGGGAGGAGACAGGACTGACTTAGGGAGGTCCATAGGTCCTGTGGGTGTGCCCTCAGCAGTGTGGTTAGTGCGCGGGAGGGTGCTTCTGCCCTCAGCAGTGAGTGCTGGTGCCCTGCAGTGAGTTCTTCCTAGCTTTTACACACAAGTTTTTGCACTCCATAGCTAAGCTGATGTGGTGCCATGCCTGAGACCCTCCAGAACTGTGCACTAATGACTCTCTTTTTTTATAAAGTGGCCTAGCCACAGGTATTTCATTATAGTAATAAATGGACTAGTATATATACACTGACTTAATTCCTCTATCCATCCTTCATCTTACAAGAATACCACCTACCTCCTTCTGATAAGCTGAAATAGTGAAAATATTCAAGGAAAACAGTTCATATTCCAGATGCCATTCTCTCCTTTCTTATTTTTCCAGTGTTTGTCCCCACCTTCCCTCACCCCAAATGCACAGTGCAGTCAGTGAAAAATGCCAGGAATAACAAAACCTCCCTCATTAAGTAACTCATTCCTCAGGGGGCCACTTTAAACAACTGAAGACTCTGGATCCTTGTCAGACCAGCCATTGTAAGTCAGAGCTGGAAGAGCCTGAAACAACTGCTTCCTCGGGGAGAGAGGTTGGTGGTCCCTGGAAATTGAATGCGATTTTTTTTTTTTTTTTTTTTTTTTTGATAGAGCACTTGTGCGATTTTTTTCAGGGAGTACTTTCCTAGTTTTCAGTGGATTCTGTAGGGTACACGCCAGCCTCAAAAGTCATGACTCAGGATCTAATTTAAGCAGCTCCTTTTTCAGAAGTAGAAAGCCTCAGAGAAACTAAGAAACTTGCCTATAGTCGCAAAGTTTGTGCAGGACAGCATTCAGAAGAAAATCCCAAAGTCTAACTGATACTGCATGTTTTTTCCACTAACCTTTATGGCTTTATAACTAAAGCAAAAAACTCAATTCTGTGCTAAAGTACAATACAGGACATACGTTTGTTTTTTCTTTCATGTAGAACCTTAGTATGTAATTTTTTTTTTTTTAAAGTACATTTAGGGTCAAAAGCCCAACTCGTATGAAAGTTCCTATCACATAGTAAATGCTAACTTTAAGCTACACTTTACAGCAAGTGAAAGTAGGTGAATTTCATTCCAGTGAAGAACTAAGAAGTGAGGGACAAACCTTTAGCACAGCTAACTCTTAATTTCAAAAAGCCTTTCAAGGTCAGCTCATGCCATCCTTATTATTCTGGACAGAACTGATCTGAGAAGACAGAAGCAGGGAAATGCAAGGGGCCAAGTGGCGGTCCTCATCCTGCCTCAGGTCCCTGTGCTGTCTACCGAAGTCACTGTGTAAGGCTGGCTTCTTATGTGTTTGCTTTCATTGTTGCTGCTGCCATTGAACAGAACCCTTGCCTGAACGCCACAAGGCAGCCATCATAAGCCGTTCAACAGCATTAGTGTAGAGGTCACTGTTCTCGAGTCTGCCCCATGGGCCTTTTCAATGTGCCCAGCTCAGCACCAGCGACACAGTGCATGTTGCCTTGGAAACCACCCACACTGTAATTACATACTGTTAATTGCCCACATTTAATCACAGAGAACTTCAGAGCAAGTGCAGACTTCAGGGCAGTGCTTCTCAGAGCTGGCCCCTGGTTCACTGGCTTCACAAGGGCCAAGAAACAATTTACTAGTTGGAAGATCCTAGTCCCTGTCCCATAGAAACACAAGTTAGAGATCCTTCGGTAGAATAAGGACACTAGTCAAAGTAAGCCAGGTCTACAAACTATAGTTGGGCTGGGTTTTTCATGCCAAAACAAATCACTGGTTGAAGGATCAAAACAGAAATAATGATAATTAGACATTGCCAAATTGCCAGTGGTCCATGGCTTCTGCAACAACTATTTCTAGAAACTGGATATCACCTTTAAAATTTATTACCCTCGGGGCTGGCGAGATGGCTCAGTGGTCTAAAGCACCTACTTGGGACAAGCTTGGCAAAGCACAGGGACCACGGTTCGATCCCCCAGCACCACATGCCAGCCAGCCCCGCCCCCTGGTGGGCTGAGCTGGCCACACAC